GAGGTCCTGAGCCGTCAGATGCTCAGATTTTTTTATTTTAAGCTTGGTCTTTATTGCTTGTCCATTAAAAATCCTGCAGCCTCTTCTGTAAGAGAAGAGGCATTAACCCTGGAGTCACAAACTAGAGGAGAGAAGTGGAAACTATGGGGAAGCACATTTAAAACTGAGAAGAAGATTAAGCAAAGGGTGGTGGGAGTTTGAAACGAGCTACCATACCTACTGTATCCATGTTTTTAAAGTAGATACTTTGGCTTCTTTCAACAGAATTATTAATTACTAAAACCAAATGAGATAGAGGGGGATGGATTGCTTCCTCTCTTTTGTAAATGTTCTTAACTTAAGTCCTGTGTAAATTCCACTATAAGTTTGTGAAATCTGGCTGTCCTACGATTCCCCCTTAATTAAATTTGTGAAGCAGTTTCTGAGTTCTCCACCTGAGCAGCTGTGTAGTGGTGCTGGTGGCACAGAATTTGCCTTGTCAGTAAAGTGCTTTCAGATCCTTTGGAATTTAAACTACTATTTAAATGCAAAGACTCTGCAGTTTGCTGTCAACAGCATTCTCCGTTAATTTTTTATGAACCATATTCTTCTTGTTTAGGATTTGTTGGGATTCAGAAGAAAAAAAGATATTTAAAATTGTTGAAAAAAAAGATTAAGAATTAGAGTAGTTTATCTTTACAGAAATATAATGTCAATGAAAAACTGAACTGTTATTTCAGCACTTTTTCCTGTAAAATCAGTTTGTGTAAATCAAAGGCTAATAGTAAGGTCTGCCTTTGGAAATCCATTACTACTCATATTTGGTATCTTTTCTACATTGGTTTCAATGATCAACAATCATGAAAGAGAAAACTCATTCCATAACCATTCCACTAGACCAGGGCAATTTTATCATGCTCAAGTTTTCATGGAAAAATTAAATTAAATAACCTAGATGTTAGCTGACAGATTGAGATCAGTTCACTTGAAAGTGTTTGCAGTTTTAGAAACTATCTGACTAATTCAAGAGGCCTGCTGGCAGTTCAGCATTTTGTGAAGATAATTTGGTTTCATTGCCTGACATATTGAAATCGGTAAAGTAGAGGCTGGTGTCTTTAAACTTAAGAGAGAATAATATTAGATTGAAATGATGTTTGCATATATGTTCCCAGTCAAATGCTGATTTGTTTATCAAGGTACTGCATTACTTAAACTCTGTGTGTTTAACGAGTGCCTGTTTAATGAGTTCAAGAGGGAGACAATGAGACAAGGCAGTGGTTTTGTGTTTCACTTCAACATCTGTGTGCACTGCAGAGACACAAACAAACTGAAATGCAGGGCTGCCTTGACTGCTACACTACTAACAGATACTGTAATATAAACGTCAGTGCTGGAAAAATTGCCTAGATCATAATCCCCTCTTTGTACAAGTGGAGCCGAATTCTAGATCAATATGTACTGCTGATTTGTAGTCCAGAAACTGAGTGAGGTGAGGATGGAACTATCCAGTTATAAATTAAATATAATTAAATGTTAAACTAAACTTTTTTTTTCTCAAAGCAACAAAGGATACTGATTCTGCTTGATACTATTCATTTTACAATGGTGAAATCTAGGACTTAAATTAAATATATAATTAATGTTTTTAATCAATACATATTTTAATAAATATTATTTATTAGGAGATAAAGGCCGTTTTGCCCTGTTTCTGTCCTTGTTTATCATTTCAGAAGTAAGTTAGATTTTGTGACATAGTTGTTTTAAGTGAATTTTGTCACGCTAGAACGAGTTGTGGAATAGATGTTTAACTGTAAGATGTAATAAGGGTTCCTTTGAGCAAAATGTGTACATGCGGAAACATTCAGGCACATTTGAATGCAATAACAAAACACATGAAAATTAAAGGGAATGATCAAATTGTTTTATTAAACATATTTCTCCTGTTGATTACAAATTATTGAAATGAGTTGTGTTAGAAGTGTTTTAGGTTTCATGTTTAACATTCTTTGAAATTTGATCTTTCTGAACAACTGGCTTCATAAGTTCTTCATATTGGTCATCAATAGTTCCTCCTTTCTGAGTGATTCCTGTAGTTTTCAATTTAGTCTGTTATATTTACTTTTCTTTTGTTGTCCTCTTATTTTGCCAAGAGATTGAATTTCTTCTCAGTTGCACCTGAAGAAATGCACCTTATTTTGTTTTACAATGAGCACCATTTTCATGTGATATATTTGACCCATGTTTCAAAAGTAAAACTTTTAAGAACTATTATCACACTAAATGTACCGTGCTATAGGTTGCAAATTTTGTAAGTATTTCCTCTTGACTTTAGAAAGCATTTACTGTAAGTTAAAGCCATAATACTTTTAAACTGTCTATGAACCAATAAATACCACAGCCACAATTGTTCTTAGTGGAACAATTCAAGAAAAGCTTCAATGCTTTTTTGCAATGAAGTCTGGTGAGTAACACACTCCAGCTCAGTTGGCACACTAGAACCGACTATTAATGAATAAGGATTACAGGTAATTTAGGACATTCTTGTAGAAACTGGACCTTTAAAAAATAAAAAAATATACATTTATGGGGTAATTGCTGTGAATAAGGTTGCTGGAAAATGTGGTTAATATCGTTGGTTGACAGAAGCATCCAGCATGTTTTTGTATTGCTTTAGCGATTGCTTGCATCCTTTCAGAGCCCTGAGTTAGAAAGAAACAAGTGCTTCAGTGTCTTCAGTTCACTAGAACAACTTTGGTTATGTTGCGTGACAGCGAATGAACAGCAAAACCAAGTACAGTGATTTTGTTTAAATTAAGAAACCCACCTTACGAGACGTTCCCCATAAATCAGTAAAAATCCTGACTTGCTAAATGATAATTACTCCCAGCCTCGTTTTCCCCCTCTAGCGATACACAGACGAAGTCTTTTGTGATCCTAGGAGAAGATCACAAGGAATTGGTATTCCAGACGTTTGCACTCCCTAACACATACCAGATTTTGGATAGGTTGCTCATTAAGAAAAATTCATGCGAATGTGTCCAGTAATTTAGCCAGGAATAGAACATGCACCATATGTCTTTGGGGCTCAAACTGTTAATTTTTAAGGTTAAGCAGCCTTTATAGTAATAATGATATGGTGTATCCAACACAGGATGCTCTATTCAAAAGGATTCATTAGACTGTATAAAAGTTTATTATGCTTACTGGTCTGACACCATTTGACTGGCAAGGATGGTGCAGTCCAAACAGAAAAGGTATTAGCTAAGGAATGGCCTGCCTCCTCTAAGCAACATCCATCTGGAACTAATTTAGGGGAAAATGGTTCAGCAGTTTATAATGTATCTGGAATAGTAAATTATGGGACCATCTTAAACTGGTTAAACATCTATGAGAAAGAAATGATGTCTAGCCTAATTAACCCGTCTTTTTTCATTTGCTGCCAACATGTTTTGAGAGAACACTCACACAGTATATGTTATTTCCTGCATATACACATTTAAGTCTATGCTGTGCTCTGTAAGTGTGCCACCTGTTCATCATGATTTTGCCATCAGCAAAACCTCTAAATCAGCTGCAGTTTTCTGTAAGGTTGCTATATGGTGTTTTTTTTACGTGATTAATTTGATCTGGTAAAACAGCATGTCTTGTCAACTTTAAACACCACAGCAGGTAATCAGAAGCCCTTTACATTTTAATAGTCAAAGTATATAATGCTTAACTCACTGGAAATGGTCACCGAGAAGACTTGTAAGTTCAGGCTTTTTAGGAAGAAAAGCAGCACAGTTCAGTATTATACGGTATATATTTCTATAGTCAAGCTTAGGGTATGTGCTAGGGTTTTTTAGCAAAGTCTAGACTAGGACAATTGCCCTGTCATACAGTGTTAACAAGCAGCACATTGAACCATCCTGCTTTTTGTATCAGCTGATAATATTTCCCCATTTATTTTAAAGTGGCTAACATATATAAAGGATTATTTTAAACCACTAGAGATAATTCCCCCTTTAATATAAACCGGACTTTTAGAATATTGAAAATCATCTGTTTTCACATCAAGGTGTATCTTTACTCTGAAGCTAGCTCGCCTAAGAGTTAATACTAATTGAGAAGTGGATAAAAATAGTTTTTGGTGTACTGCACCCTCTCCTGTTGGATTTTGGGAATTACATCTCATGTCTTATGCTTGCTCAATATATTTTATTTAATCCTTTATTTAAAAATATATTAGTTGATAACAGATTAAAAAATGAAAAGTATGCATTTATACAGTCTGGCATAATTGATTATATCCTGTTTCCACAGTATTTGATCTTTCAACACTGTGTCAAGAGTCTTGAAGTAAACAGAGTTGTCTTTAGTTTGCCAAATTTACCAGCACTATAATTTTAGGTGTTAGGTTAAAACATCATTTGCCGTTTGTACAGTTTGATGGACAGCAGACTGCCTTGTATGTTCATGGTAACCTGGGCCAATCCTGTCCATTTACCAGTCTTGGGCATTAACTGAGAAGTGAAGTTAAGGTGGCCTTAGTGCTCAAGTACTCTAAATAGGGGAATTGGAAAGATTTGGGGTCAATATTAAACTCTGCGGACCTCTCACAACGTTTTCTGCAGAATGTGAATTAAATGCTTTTTAATGTAATTCGGAAACAACATGTATTTTTCTTAATACTATTAAGAAATACCATCTCTAGGAGCATTAGCGGTTGACAGAAATGAGAGAACAAAAATATTTACAGAATAATGTAAACATTAAAAATTAATACAATAATGTTATTTGTACCTGAAACATAACCAAAACAGCAACAGTTGGTAGGTTTGCCTCTTTGTCTGCTCAGTGAAAACTTCAGTGGAATATTGAAGAGCTTTGGTGCAGTTCAGTGTTTGAAAAAGGCGATCCGGTGATGTTTTTGCATAATAAATGAATATTTACTTTTTCATAAATATTAACACATTGGTTTGCATTCCATATTTTTGTATATGATTTTTCTGTTACTCTAATGATTTTTTTCTTTGTTTCAGATCCAGAAAGTAAGCAAAGGAGAAAAGGTAATTTTTGCCTGACATCCCTGGGAATTGAATTTAATTGTGTTTATGGCAAAAATTGTTTTAGCAGTTCAACAAAAACTATAGCTTTCAGTATCCTAAAATATAAATATTTAAGTCACTTGGAGAAAGTTATCCTGAGTCTTGCATTTGTCAGACCACGGTTGTCAACAAAAATTGCACAAGCCCTATCAGCATCAAGCGTTTTACGTCAGTGTTTTATTGTTTGTGCATGTTGTTGATCGTGCAGTTTCATTTTTTAACACATTACCCATGGCAACAAAAACATATCAAACGTAAGTCTGCAAAAAGGTGGAATAACAGCTTGTGAGATTCAGTTCTTCTCTCAGAATCCACTAACCAAGATAAATCTGTAGTCAGAGATTCCACTGACAGGACAGGGGTCACACCTACATGTAGTAACATGGTGTTAAAATGACAAACTGATTTATTTTTTATTTGAACTTTTTGTGATTTTGTTATTTAATGTTCTGGTAAGTGAAATCCAGCATATCCATCATGCTACACAACCTTTAGTCATACCTTGAAAATCTTCCAAATGCTGGCTTTATGCTTCCAATATTATATAACATTTGTGCTGTGCATTAATCCGTATGTTTTCAGTTTTGATTAACAACAATTTCCAAATCCAATGGTCAGAAAAAAGTGTAATTTCATGCTCTCCATGATCACCATTTCCTTTTGCTTGTTACCGAATATAGTTGAGCAGTGTTGTAGGGCTCAAATGGCACATTACAGTCTTTAAATCATTTCCCCAACCATTATCCTCCCTATAACCTCTGGTTTCCAAGACTATCCAGCACTGTTGTGTGATTCATGAATCATCTCGCATATCCTTGGCATATGAGGACTGTATGAGAACATGGACAGAAAAGATAAAAGTTGGTTTTGCTAAAGAACATGGGTTAAATTGACCCCAGATTTCTTTGAAAACTGCAGTTATATTTCTTGATATCAGCAAAGCCCATTAGAAGATTCCTGAGGAAATGATCTCACTGTTCATCAACGTCACCTCTCCCTCCTCCTTTGCTTGATCTCGTGTTACAGCTGTCACGTTGAAATCGATTTGTTTAAGTTGTGTTTTTGTTTCATTCCTCTTCAGGCAAGAAAGGACCACCCGGTGCGCCTGGCCCCCCCGGGCCCCCAGGGCCTCCAGGGCCACAGGGCCCACCGGGAATTCCGGGAATCCCTGGAATTCCGGGAAGCAATGCCATGGGGCCAGCTGGGCCACCTGGGCCCCCTGGCCCTGCTGGACCCCCAGGGCCACAGGGCCCTCCTGGCCCACAGGGACCTGCAGGTACGGACAGAGGTTTACTGACTCAAGTGTAATTATAAACAGACTGTGCACTGGGGAGCTGAAGGATTTTTCTTAGGATTAGTTCTGGCACTAATATTGCAGAGGTAGCTAATGAATGAGTGGAATTTCGTAACAAATTATTTGGCTTGCCTGCTTCACAGAGTCCCCAGATTTATATTGCTTTCGTGAATTCACACCTCAGCTAAAGCTAGACCTACCAACCCATAAACTTTAAAATATGTAAGTATATCACATGCAGTTATTAATCTTCATAGATCTACTAAGAAATGAACAGCTGTACTGTTTTTTGTTTGTGCGTCAGAAATGAGTACAGGAGAAGTTTTATTTTACCGAGGCCACCCAGCTTAGGTTTCTGGACCTACTGATTATTTTTCAACTACTTCCATCAATTCAATTGGCAACAAATCACGCCAACCCATTGTCTACCATTGCAGCTGCTCCATTAACTTCTCACATTTTAAATCAAGTTTAGACACCCGAGAAACTTCACCCTGTTGATTTTTTTTCCATTTTCAGATTGTAAATCTAATGTGCCCTAAAAGAAATTAATTCTGCAACATAATATTGCTTGTCAACAAAATCTGGTGTATTCAATACCCATTGAATTTATGTATAAGTCACAGTTTCTTTTATATTTTTTATTAAGAGCATAAAACAAGTTACAAATGAGATGAGGCCATTTGACCCATCTAGTTTGTTTTTCAGTAGGCAATGAATCTAAGGAAACTCATCCAGTTTTTTTTTTTAAAGAAAGTTAGGGTCCTGACTTAAACTACATGACTCGAGAGCTTATTGCAATGTTCTTTCGGTTTCTTTACACCTGTATCCTTTGTTTTCCTTGGTTTGTGTTTTGCTTTTGCTCTTGTATGTATCTATTGATTTGACAATTTTTGCACCTTTCAGGGCTTTGAAAACATCAACCAAATTCATTAATCCATTTATTTATCTATTTTATTTATTTTGCTCTGATGTCTTGATCTAAGTTGACTTACTATAAATGAATCTATAAATTGTTGAAAGTATTAAACTGTATAGTGTAATAGGATTTAGACAGAAGAACTTCAGTACAATAATACAGTGCAAAAATTAATAACACTTTAGAATGTCTATGTATGGCCTACAGTAACAGAAATAAAAATAATACAACCTATCAACTATACAGTCTGTTGACAGGGTCTAACCATTTGGGTCTGACGGAGACTCCAGAAAATCATTAGAGTTTTAGTGCGGTCCTGATTTCAAGATATTGCCACCACAAGAGTGGAAGGGAGTTCTGTTGAACTGCTGCTTATTTAAGAGGTTTGGAGACAAAAGGATCTAAAGAAGTTATATACCTGAAGCAGTTGGGTATAGTTTAGAGTCACAATCTTTTCTTCCTAATACTCTTCCACCCTGCATTCCAGTACAATGGTATGTCATGTCATTTGCCAAACCGCTTTATACCATACGGTGTTGCGGGAAGCTGGAGCGTACCCGGCACGCATTGAGTTCAAGGCAGGGTACACCCTGGATGGGACGCCAGTCCATCACAGGGCAAGTGCAAGCCAATCATACATGGGGACAATTTGGAGGCTGCAGTAAAGGCCAAGGGTGGAAATTTGGCTCGGACACCAGGATAACTCCCTACTCTTATTGAGAAATGCCCGGAGATCCTTAATGACCACTGAGAGTCAGGACCTCGGTTTAACATCTCATCTGAAAGATGGCGCATTTGGACCCACACAGACAGCAGGGTAGGCGCCCCCTGCTGGTCTCGCTAACAGGAGATCTCCCATCCAGGTACTGACTAGGCTCAACCCTGCTTAGCTTCAGTGGGTAGTCAGTTGAGAGCTGCAGGGTGATACGGCTGCTTCCAGTACAGTGTGTCAAATAGAAGTGTCCAATATTTTTTTAATATGGAAATGTATAAGAAAATTGTATAGTTGTGAAGTGATATCGAGACACCTTTAAATATGATGAACACGTACACAGGGAAATTATCACTTACATTCAGCACTTTATATACATAGAGTTACTGAATTATGATACTTTAGAAATTGAATTCCAAAGGAATTCCATCCTGAGCTTTTTTATGAAGTTCTCTTTATGAACTAAATACTTAATGGAGTTTAGATAGAACACAGTGGTGACAACCATTTAGTGTGTTGGGCTTGACATTATATTTTTCATCTAAAGCAGAGAGAATCCTGTTGTTTCTGTGGATTCACATAAGTGTGCTGAGAAATTACATTATTTCTCTGATGTTCTGAGTCCAGGCAAATTTTAGCTCTGCATTTCTGTGTGAGCTTATACTCTGCTAAGTGAATAAAATGCACCAACAGGTTGCATAAAGAAAACTGGCTCTAACTAACTCTTCTGTTTCATAAATGACTTGGTAGCTGACACATTTCCTTTCTTGCAGGAGGCACGGACAAAACTAGGGCCAGAGACATGCAGGTAATTTGTTGCACTTGGTTTTTATTGTAAGGATATTAGTACGAATCCTGTCTTCAGACATGTAGTAAGTGTCCTAGGTGAGTTCACTTCCATAAGTGATAAAAAATTCTTAAGCTCCGGTATATGTAACGTCCTTATTTGGTCCTGCAATTAATCTCATTCCAGTTTTTTTGCCAGTTGTTTAGGTTCATCCATTTGTACTGACTGTTGTCTCCAGTTGAGTAGGGGAGTGAATGTGATATTAGTTTAACTGTTGTTTAATTTCAGAATTATGTAGCTTCATTGGCACTTCTCTATTGATCTTGTTTCCCCTCTTCTTGTTGAATGCTTGAGTATTTTCTTAGTTTTGCATACCACATTGTATGCAAATGTTGCTGTCTCTACACATCTATTTATTAAACTTTTTTTTTAAATGGGGTGCTCCTCTGATATTTCATAACATGATTTTGGTGGTTATAAATAACATTATGGATGAATGAAGATTATTAGCACCAATGTAAATGAGAACTGATGTATTACAGCTAATTGATGTACAGTATAACAGCATAATCTGAGTCCTTGTGACATAACATGAGACAAATGTGACATACAGTAATATTCAGGATCAGTATTATCCTGATCCTGGAAAAAGCATGTTATTTTGCTTTTAAAGATTGGGCTGTTATTAAAATGCACATAAAAAAACACTTTGAATACTGAAGTGGGACATGAAATATGCCCGATTGTTTTGCAGCCTGCTGTTGTACATTTGCAAGGCCAAGAAACAACGATACAAGTCAAGGAAGGTAAGCGTTAAATTTTAGAAACTGATAAATATTTTCTTCTAATTCCTCTGAATTTCTTGGTTTCGTGGGTGGCAGGTAGTTTTTGTAAGTTCTCTACCTTTTAAATGTGTAATAGTCTTTAACTTAGAAAAAGCTGTGGAAAGCCCTCAGTGCAAAATAAATTATTTGATAAGATCAAGCATATTTTAGAAATCTGCCTTGTGTGGTTCTATGTAGAATTTGTGTTATTCCACGAGATGCTTTAATACTAAGAGAAACTCTTCAGTATAACATGATTATTGGATTGATTTTTACTTTTCTTTAACATACCTCACTTTATCCAGACATTAGGGGAATAGAATTAGTCACGTAGTACTATACATAGAATTTGGAAAATAAAATTGTGGTAAATTTGTTTAAAAAAATGTTATTTTTAATAATAAAGACAAATCAGAAGTACAGGGCTTTATCACAGTGAGGTAAAAGCTATTTTTCAAAGATTTAACTTTTCATTGTAAGTGAGCTGACTGATGTTGAGTGACTGCCCTTTTCTCACGCTGAGATCTTTCAGAAGGCGTACTCAAAAACTGGAAAATGATATCCATACACCCCAAGGTGTTCAAGATGCACTCACGATCTGGGGAGCTGGAGGTGCTAGTTGATGGCACGTACTTCATCTATAGTCAGGTAGAAGTGAGTACGGTCTTGGGCCTAACTCTTCTTTTCAACTGCATGCAACTGACCCCTTTCTCACTGGAGTGATCACAGGGCTACAGGCTGTTCCCAAAGTAGATACCTTGAAGTACAGCAAGGATTCTTGGTAACCCCTGTTGTTTAATTAATCTCACCCAGGACCTTGAAGGACTTGAGTGTATTATTGGTAAACCAAACATATTTGATGTCTGGTAAAATGTTGGTTATTTTTTGTATTTTATAAGGATCATATTTTTTGAAGTTGGAACTATTGTTTGGAAAGTCAAGTGGTGGTCCGCAAGCCAGATAAGCAGCTGCCAGACCCTGAAACAATTCAGTTTTACTTCCAAGTGCTGCAGTGCGAAAGGGGAAGGTGAAAGACCAAGCCAGTTATGCTGTATGTATTACGAAACAGGCTGAACTTACAGCGCTGAACTTATTTCAGTGCAAGGAATTTAGAAATGGTACTCCACAGAGAGCTCTAAAGTACTGGTTTAGTCAGGTTCCAAACTCAGTCATTAATATCTTTAATTAAAGAAAGTCATGGTCTATTCATTTTATCATGGGATGTCAGCTTGCTCCAAATTAAACTAGGGCTTGGCCTCTTACTGAAAAAATATTAACAAAAATAAGGCTAGTATTACTGGTTACTTTAGTTTGATAATTTTATATGTACATGTAAAAGATCTTGTATTGCTTGGTTAGTGTTATACTGTAGAAATTTTGTGGCATACTACTATTTTGCTGGGAGTAGCAGAAAGGATTCTTAGTAAACAGTTTTAAAAAATGTATTGTTTTCTTTTTTTTTGCATGTGTCTCCATCTCTCTCTCCTGAAATTCTGCCAGGTATACTACCTCAACTTTACAGACATCGCCAGCTATGAGGTGATGGTGGACAAAACTCCTTTCCTGCGTTGCACTCGCAGCATTGAGACTGGCCAGAGGAAATTCAACACCTGCTACACTGCAGGAGTTTGCCTCCTGAAGGCCAGGCAGAAAATTTCCATCAAAATGGTGTACGAAGACACCTCCATCAGCATGACGAACCACACCACGTTCCTTGGAAGTATTCGACTTGGGGAGGCTCCATCTTCAGGCCGTTCTTGAGGTGCATCACGAGTGTGCTCGTTCAGCTCTGACAGGCCTTCTTCTATTTTGCTTTGTGACTACTAGGCAAATGCAAAAGACTCAATGAAACACAAATCACACTGCCTCTGAAAAACCCATCTTCTGTAGTCATCTCCTGTAGCAGCTGATCAGGATCTTCATTCAACATTTATCCTTAGTATTATGATCCCACCCTATTAGATGTGTAAAAGATAAACTAATTCCTTGGAAACTGTCATACAGCTTCTCATCAAATTGTATATCATTATTTGACTACCTGCTGGAATGTACATTCCAGTGTAAAGCCATGAAGAAAGAGAAAGGATGGATATATATATATCAAAGCAGGAAATCTTATACTGTAAGTTAAAATTATTGCTCCACCCTATGTGTTTATTCCCTTTAGCAAATACGATTTTAGCTATTGCAAGAAAATGCCAACCTGAAAACCAACTATTTTCTACTTTAAGTTGTTCCATCAGTTAACTGCAGCTGGTGTTTCTTTGTTGTCATTACTGTTTTGTTTATAATACAGTATAAGCCAATAAGCAAACCTTATTATTCTTCCACAGTATTCCACAGTATCAAATACATTTTGCAGTATCTTTCTAGTGCATGTTCTGTTAAACAAGTTAAAAAGGGACCACAAAGCTGCAAACCAAAAGAGCATGAGTATGTTTCTGGTTGCTCTGTACATTCATTCGTGAGAAAGAGCTAGCAGCAGCTAAAGCTGATTAATGAGGATGACTGATTGATAGATGTTTGTTGAACTTCATTAGCTTCCATCGGCTTTCCAATAAGTACCATATGGTACTGCTGTTTTCAGCATGTTAATTAACATTCAGCTAATAATTATCTCGAAAACCTAAAGGGTGAAATCAGGAGAATTGTGTTCTGTTTTGTCTTCCTATATATTAATAATGGGTAAATGATACTGGACTGCAAATGTGTTGGAAATGTTTTTTCTGAGCACATTTTTTTAAAACCTTTTAGGAATAAGAAGGCCCTTTTCGTGTGGCTTAGATAATGTTTAAATTGTTGAAAGTGAAAATTAGCCTTTTATGGAAATGCTTTACTATGTCTAATAATAGTAATAACGAGTGCAACCTACCCCTTACCCCCCATGAAAAAAGAAAAGCTAGAAACGTACAACAAGGTAATTGTAAATAATGTATACTGTATTTATAAATCATTTTCTAAGATCCAATAGGAAAAAAACAAAAACAAAAAAAAGATGCAGGTGTATTTCAGGATGGGGTTTGAGAACTACAATTGTAGATCACATGTCTGCTTCCTAAATGTTTTGTAATGTCAGTAACACTAAAATGGAATACTAATCAATTGTTTTATGTGTTGTGTAAGGATGGTAACTAAATCAGATTTAGATGCTTTTGATAAATCAGATTTTATATAAAAAGCAATGTACATTTCTAATAATTGTGATGCAGAAAAAAAAAGACTACACTTTCTTATGAGACCTTCCTTCAAATTACTTTCAGGCAAGGCAAACTTTTGAATAGCTGTCTAAATGTCCTCTCTTTTGAACTTGTACAGGAAGAAAACTCTCCCAAGTTCAATAATTTGATTGTTACAGTGAAGCAGGTTTTTTTATATAAAAAGGGTTACCCTTGAGGAGTGAGAGTTTCATACTGCAATTTTTCTGAATCCTAGTGCAATGTCCATCTGCTGGGGAACTTTCACAAAGAGTCATCACAAAGAGCTTTGCGTGTTCGCTTTTCCGGTAAAATGTACATTTCACCAAGAAACGAAGACACAGCTGGAAGCAATTGGAAAACAGTGCAAGCAAACAAACAAGCTGAACAGTTTTTCACAGGGAGCCTTTTCTGTGAATGTTACTAGTGTGTTACTAAAATGGTAATATACATTTTTATTCATATAAAATTAAATTTTACTTGGGTTTTATTTTCAGATACAATAGGATCCCATTCTTAGAAAGCAAACTAAGTACAACTGAAAGAGAGGTTAGAAAGGATTCTTCATCACTATTGTGTGCATTTATAGAGAGCTTAGTGAATTAATCCCTTTGCTTCCAAAGAAAAAAGTAACTGGTAATATGTTGAGGTGTCGGTGTTGAATTAGCTAATGGTATTATTTTTAATTTTTAATTGTTCTTCAGATCTCCTTAAAACATCATTTTTTGTATTTGTAACTGAGTTATCATGCACTAGGCTTCATTAGTTAACACTGGTAGAAGCCCACAATTTTGTTTAAAATCATCTTATATCATGGGTCTTCAATAAAATGGTCAGGCATATTCTTAATCGACAGCTATTGACAGGATAAAACCCCTTTGCATACACCGTCTCGTTTCAAGGGGTCCTGTGATTGAATATGATTGTCTCTAAGTACTCCAGCTGACTTGAATCCAACCCCAAGTGCTTCTTTCCTGGCAGATACTCCTTTAAAGCCCAAGTCTAATGTTCTCATGCTAAGAAAGAACTGACTGCAATTTCAGATGGAAGAAACCTTACATGCTCCTGTTATGGAATGTCGCTGTATCTGTTTTAACCCAAACACAAATCTGAGACAAGATACCATGCATTTACACTTATTTAGTTTTCTTATTGCTAAACCCATAATGTGTTTTTGTTGTTGTTTGAGATGCAGGCATTTTTTATAAAAGTTTATTAACACCTCTTATTTACATTTTTTATCACTGAAGAAATATGTCATTTTTTTGTGTTACCTTTTCTTGGATAGCTTTGTTTTCCAATTCATTTTTAACTGTATTTTATTGTAACAAAATGCATTTCTCTTACATTTCTAACATTATGTACAGTATAGTTGGAGTTTAAAGGAGAAAATGGGCTTTTATTTAGATACAATGTTCATACATTCTTTAAATACTTTGATAATTTCATAATGTGTTTTCACCTGATATTATTCAAAGGATTTTGTGTTCTTCACATAAACTGTTTTTTTTTTCCAGAAAAATTCATCAAAATACAAAAATACTTATAGTTAGATTATAGTTTCACAATAAGACATGAAAGTGATAATTAGTCATTTTAGGAATCCATAGAAACAGATTTACAAAGTAAGAATTAAAGATAATGAAATTAGACCTTTAACAAGAGTTTATTAAAAAATAAACTTTTGACTTGTTTTTTTTTTAGTTGTTTTCCATAGAAGCCTTTCAGTTTCTTCACATCATGAATTGTGTACTACATAATTATGGTATATTTTTAATTGTTATCCTAGTTGATGGAATATACTGTACATTTGTATACTGCATTGTATATATGTATATAAAAATAGAATGTACTTTTTTGTAAATGGACTTTATTTCTTTATACATTCAATTAAAGCCTTGTTCAATCATAGATGTTTACCTTTTTGCACATCTGATATTTTCCTTCCCTTTTTAAGCTGTTTCTTAACCATGTTAATTTCCTAAATCTTTTTAAACATGTTAGAAGCAAGCAGCTGCAAATGTATTTATAAATGTAATAATAGAAGTATGGTAGAGACACATTTTATATTATTTAAAAATAGGCCTGTGCTTCTGACACCTTATTGAATGTTTTAATACAATGTTTAAACTTTGCAGACCAGAAGAAGGAAGATGTATGGCTTCTAATTAACATTACATGGCATTTGGGACTTTAACAAAAACTGTTTCTGTTGATGGACTGATATCACTTGCATTTCATTTTAATGTAACAATATATGCCATTATGATCGGTCATCATATGATGAATGAAAGCTAAGAACAACCTCCATAACTTGATGCTTATGTTTTTTCCTCAAGTATGGAGCATGTGGCACAGGGCACATATGTTTAAGGATCCTTTCCTGTCATTCTTCATAAATGTCCATAGCACAAGTGAGAGTCTAGAACATAGTCATGTAGTGAGAGATTAGAACAAGTGAATGCCAAAAATTAATTAGAACCAAACACTTTTTCAGAACTGTGCTTTGTAACTGTAGCATCTTAGAGGGAGACTGCATAGGAACTTTTCAGGACTAACCTGGTCACGTTGCAATGAGCAAGATTTGAGCAGGTACAGCACACACTGTCCACTTAAAGCCAGACACTTGACCACGGTCACTCATTCAGGCCCATATAGTCTTGGTTCTCTAAAGTTACTGGTTTTAGTCTATAATGTATAGAAGTTAGTACACATAATTTGCACAACGTAACACGAAGAGCCATATTTCCTACCGCCATCTTTATGTTTTTGGTGTGCTGGTCCTGATGAGGTTCATGGCACCAGGAAGGTAAGGAGAAAAGACCTGATGCAACAGATTCCAACTCTTTTTTTGAGTAATTTCCCGCCTCTCCCAGCCTTCCAACAAATGTGATCATTCAATACAGGGTTAGTGAAAATGTTATCGACAAGAACAAATGCCAATTATTTTACTCAAGTTTTGTTTTCTCCTGCACGGATGGGGAGGATTGTAAGGTAACTGTTAGAAACTTTGACAGTTTATTACAAATGAATTGCATGGGTAACCGTGACAAAAACAGGATTCAAACAAAAGCAGAAATATCAAAGTTTTTACAGCATTTTGGACTAACCCTGTATATTTTATGTCATGTTTTATGTATATTTATACATCAAAACAACTTTCTTGTCATTTGTAAATAGCTTAACATTTTCTAAATATACTGTATGCTTAGAAATACTTGTTCTGTACATTAGCAGAAATTAAAATACATTGAATGTAGAAATGTAGAAAACCAAATCCTGTGCTTATAACACTAACTTGTACTTTGATTTGTTCCTTAATTGTGTACTCCACTCACCTTTTATTTTTGACTGTGTGCTCTATTGACACATTTATTTTGACGGTTTAATAGCTTAGATAAAAAAGCCCACATTGGGTGGAATCATTTGATACTGTTTTCAAAAGAAAGTGATATTTTTACAGGCACTAAGAAAGCCTCCTCACAGAAAAAACAGCAGACAAGTTCCCCATTATCTATTTTTAAAATCAAACATTTTCATATGCGTGTTTCCTGTAATACAGTGCATGCACTTTTGCCACAGGCTCAAACAGTCATCCGACCTTTGTTTTAGGATGTTTGAGTTACCTCTCAGAAAGAACTCCCTCCACAGAAAACTGCTTTTGTCCCACTGTATCTTATTAATGGTGGTTAGCCTGACTTTGTGTTTAAGTATTTTCTTACTGCATCAGATCTTTATTTTAAGAGATGATCTGGAAAAACTCAGCGAGGAAATTTATACTCACTTAAACCAGCATGTATCATCAGATCTTAGCGGTCAATGGTCTGTGTCTGAAAAGGAAAAGGTATGTGCAGTCTTTTAAGTACAAATAATATTCATGTTACTTGTTTAAGACAGGGTTTATGAATCGAACAGTACACCTCAAGGTCAGTATATTAATAGTGTTCATGGAATAACATTCTAAAGATCTCAATTGGTAAAAAAGGTATAAAAAACAAAAGTAATCAATTAAATGGAAAATAAGCAATATTTTTTTATTGTGTAACATTATAAATTCACTGTAATATTTGAGGATTATAACCCAGACACAGATTTTTTGCAGGTTACAGGCAACCTTGTAATCTGTCATCCCTTTCCCATCAAAATAGAAATTTAATCACCTGTATTTTATTAGTTTTCTGTTTTATAGTTACAAGAATTATCAGAAATAAAGTTGTCATCAAGGAACGTTAGGTGTTGTAAATATGGATGAGTATGAAGTCGGCTAAATTAAAATACATTTTGAAGCGTATATGGTCTGTAACACAAAATACTTGAGCTTGCAATTGCCCAGTGAAGATACTGGAAACTGAAAGGGTGCTTTGGTTTGAAACGATTTTGTGTTGCAACACTCTTTCCAAGTTTGTTTTTGTTTTGCTTTAGAAATTAAGCTCAAGCGTTTCTTCCATCTTACATCATGGCAAAAGTTCAAAGGTATATCACTATCCAGTTGCGAGCTCTTTCTTGAGAACAAAGCGAGAACAAAAGGGATTTACAAGTAAGTTCCAAGAAATGATTTCATTATTATAGATCAGGGCAATAAGGCTGAGTTATGACAGTGAAAATCAGGCAATAGTGCAGTCTTTCCTGTGGGGTCAATTACATGTTGTGCAGTCAATTTTAGACTTTATCATGGAGTTACTGTCATTTGTATTCATCACCTTTATCCTCATGATGCTTCCAAGAAAATGCTACCAAAAACATCTGGCTTAGGATTTCAAAGATTGAACAATGGGACACTTGAGAGTTTCTCCCAAGCCTGCCTCTGATACATCTAAATACTATTTCCACTTCAACACATTCTGACATATCAATTTCTGGAAATGATCTTTTTTTATTTAAAAGATGAAACAATCTTTTAAAACAATATCTTAATTTACTGCAGTGCTCTCGTTCCGTTTACAGAACAACAATCATTTCTGCAGCTGAGAGCCAGGACTAATGAAAAGCCAATTCATAAAGGTAAACTTCTTTTTAATATAGCTGGAAAGTTTCCTGTTCATTATTCCAATCACGAGAGTAACGACAATTATTATTTCCTTAAGGACACGTTTAATCACGCAGACCTTAAGAGGCCTGCCTTTTGTTGAACTGTTGTTATAGCTTACAAATATTTTGGTTCTCTGATGTTGTTTCTGCTTATGCTGTTAATTATAATTCCAGTTAAATTTTCCCCCCAAAAAAATGTTTTTGGAGGAAAGCATGAAAGGGTATTTGGTGGCCAAGTATATTTTTTATTTCTAAATGCTCAGATACCCAGAGACAAATCAAAAGGCATCAATGCTGTAAAGTACTTATCTTCTCAGGGGGACGAACAATAAGACAAATCACTGACATTGATATTTTCTCCTATATATGCAATATATCATGTGTTATACACGCAGTTCATTTTAACTATGCCACTTAAGGGGGGGTGGTCACAAACCAGTCCAAGGGTCCACAAAAAAGCCCATCACTCTAAAACAAGCTATTCAATTTAATGCTCATATATTGCTCATACTTAATAGAAACAATTAGTTATTCTAATGAGGGTATCTTCTTTAAATATATTTAAATCCAATAGTAGCATTATAAGACCTGTAATATGCTTTTATAATGGCTTACAAAGGGATCAGGTATTGAAAGATATTCAGGAATTACTGTACTAATGATTGGTACTGATTTAAACCTAGGTAACACAACTATTATTCCATGGACTGTTGCTGTTCAAAGAGGAGGAGCTCTGTCCACCACTGACAATAAAATTATTGTACAACAGGACAGTTATTATATGGTGTATGGCCAGGTAAAGGCATTTGTTTTTCCTTTAAAGCTTTTACTTTTTGTTTACTTTAAGTGTGCACATATGTATTTTGGATGTTAAAGGCTAAACCCCTACATTGTCCAGTATGGGTTTCCAACTGTACAGGATTATATTTATGATATGTTTTGATCATGTTCAGCTTCAGTTGGGTTTTTTTCTTGAAAATGCCATGAAATTAGCTCTTGAATGGTGCTGGTTTGTCCGTGGGAAATGTTGCAGCTCTGCAGCCTATTCCTTGCACCTAAAAGAGTAGTGTGGGAAATTTTATAATGATCATGGTCACTGACTTTACATTCCGTTCAGTGTTCTGGATGTCAAGAAATATTTTATGGCCAGGAAAGGTTTCTCTGGCTGTGCATATTCATGTGCTTTGCTGATTAATTATGTATTCCAGGTTGTGTTCCTCAATCCTGGAGACATAATGGGTCATTTAATCCGGAGGCGGAAATCCAGTATTTCTGGCACTGAGCAAAGATTCACAAACTTGCTCCTCTGTATCCAAGACATGCCAAACAAAGAAAGTATCAATTCATGCTACACTGCAGGTGAAGACTCCAAAATCTTGTGTTTTGTGAGCAGTAGTGTTTTCAAATTGTCTGAGTAGTAAGGATATAAGTGTATTACCAGACAATACAGACTCTGCTGTTATATTTGTGAGCAAGCTATTTTACTAATATATCTCTAGTGAGACTACCTTTATAAATGGGTACCAGCATTGTTGGGTGGGTTAACCTCCGATGGACTGCAGCATCAGATCTATCTATGAGCTATTGAGGTTTGTAATAACATTTGGGCTTTTTGGAATTTGCGGTACATTCCAAGTGTACTGCAAATGTACTGAAATTTGGGGCAGAGTGGTGGCTCTGTGGCTAAGGGATCTGCGTCTGTGGCTGGAAGGTTGTCAGTTGAAATCCCGCGGCTGGCAGAGGAATCCTACTCCGTTGGGCCCGAGCAAGGCCCTTAACCCCAACTGCTCCAGGGGCTCTGTACAATAGCTGACCCTGTGCTCTGACCCCAAGCTTTTCTCCCTGTCTCTGTGTCTCTTGGAGAGCAAGTTGGGGTATACGAATAGACAAATTCCTAATGCAAGAAATTGTATATGGCTAATAAAGTGATCTGATCTTATCTTATCTTACATGCCCATATTACTGGGTAAATCAAGGTGGGGAAATATACAAAATAATGTTTGCTCTTCTTCCTCAAGGAGTTGTAAAACTTGACCAAGAGGATGAGCTGGAACTTGTCATCCCTGACCGACCACAGACCCAAGTCTCTATGGATGCTGACTCCACATTTTTCGGCATTATACAGCTCAGCTAGTACAAACATGTATAAAAAGAACAAGATGAGAACAAGATTCCCATTGTTTCTGTACTCCCATAGCGGTTGGATCCATTTCAGGTTTTGCAGTCTGCCGGTTCGTGGACTGATGAAGCAGAAAGTTATTTCATATTATATATAAATTTTACACATCTGTCCATAAAAGTTAACTTAAATATAGGACATCAAGTTTGTAATATCCAGCACCTCGGGATGGATTAGCTTTCTATGGATCATTAAACATGAAATCAATCATTCTGCAAGGCAATGGGAGGTTTTTGTTTCGACAAACTGACAAATATTGCTTGAAAGTTAGAGAACAACAAACCTGAAACATTCTCAGATGAGGAATGAAAGAAATGATGGACATGCTTACTGTAGGTGAGCCAACTGCTTTGTGTATGAACAACATGCTTTGCAATTAAAGAAGTATTCTTTCTCTTGGGAGCAGCTCTGGGTTTACACTCAGTATAAAAGGAAAACTTTGAGTTACTTTACCGAAATTTTGAGCCTGCATGCCTCTTGGAGGTTTGTTCTAAGCTAACTGTTGTAACTGATTTATATTTTAAAACTCCACAGCTGTGTTTGTCTATGCCAAGCAAAATTGACCCCAGGATTTTAACAAACACATTGGTAATATTTTACCACAGAAATGCAACTTTGTTTGATCATAGAATAATATAAGCACTCCGGAAATGTAGTACCTTTTGTACTTTATACAGTAACCTTCCCAGAAGGCTGACAACTTCTTTCCTATAGTTTCAAGCCTCTCCCTTGCTTGTATATTATGACTAATTGGTAAACTGTATAGGTGGGTCATCCTGTGTACACCATTCCTTCCCCAACTTATCTGAATGTAATATTATGATATGTTGATGTGAATACAACCTCAGAAAAGCACCAAATATTAATTTTCCTGGTTTTTGCTTTGGGGACTTATCCCTGTTAGCCCAATGTATCTTTGAAAACCTAATATTTTAAAATGGTATACAATTGCAATAGCCTGGATTTATTTGATCATCCCACATAAGTAAAGCTTTAGTTAAAAAAACCTAGTCTTCTGAGTGGATTGCTATTATTGCTATAATAATATGTTCATTAGTGGACATTTCAGTGGAAAACCTGGGTGACTGGTCAAATCCAAATAAATTAGTATGTAAACACCCATTTTTCTTTGAATAAATACTGTAAAAAGCTTCAAACATAAAACAACTGAGCAAGTTCCTGGTAGGGCTGAAATATTGTCAAAGACCTTAAAATAAACTGGATAAAAACAGCACAATGTGATTCGATCCTTTTACTTTTCTAATGACACACTATATACAGCGCAATATATTTAAAATGAGAGTTTGCTTTTCATATCTAATGCCTCTACTAATGCAATAACTGCTTTAACCACTAGATGGCTAGTTTCTGCTAAATTGTTTATTTGGCCTGCATTCAGTGCATCTCATTTTCAATAAATCTAGAAGATTAAGGAAATAAAATTTCCAGAACAAGATATTGCCGTTTCCGTCTCCTGCCATGCATGTTAAGAATTTTCCAAAGTATATATAAGAGTCTACATACACAGCAGAGGCAGTCCAAGCATGTTGAATCATTTTACAGTATTTATGACAGAGGTAGGGGTGGGGGATTTTAAGCATATTTATGTATTTGTCTCTGTAAAGATGATAAACTGTAAGCCACATTTTTCCTTCGCATGTTTATGCAGTTATCAAATAACCTTTTTTTGCCTTTTGTTTCTGCCTTAAAACTGAGCGTGGACAACCGGTTTTGTGTTACACTGCCCTATTATTTCATTCACCCGATACATCCTTTGATTGGGTGACATAAATGTCATTTTTTCCATCCTTGTGCAGCTGCTGCAGAGGACAAAAGCAAACATTTATCACAGAGCAAAGGATCTGTTTAGGAACAAAATTCTAAATTTAGGGTTATTTAACAGCACTTGGACAGCATTTCTAAACATAGAAGTTTTTATATATACATAGTAGTCAACATTTATAGTCTTTGTGCAGTAATTATAGACCATACCATTATTAACAAATTGCTTAGTATCTTTAGTAAACAAAAACCAAATGCAATATAATTGGCTTCCTATTCTGAGTTTAATGAAATATATAAATAAACAGTATATATAGCTAAAAGTGGGAAACTGTATCGGTGTGAGCTGCAAGTGAATAAGTAGAGGTCAATGGCACAAAGTTTTTCTTTTTAAAATTGTGTTTTTAACAAAACAGATTGAAATTAACTTTGACTTGTCCCTAATTATAATTAGTGACATATATAATTATATGTATAATATATATATAATTATTTTTTTAAGTACTTTAACACTAAATATAGCCATTTACATTGGGTCTTTTCAGTTGAATGGGTGTAAAAGTCCCTAGGTTGGAAAGCCCTGATATAAATATTATTGAAAAGACAGCCCTTTGAGGGGCACATGGCTTAAAGATCACATCGTGTGGTTTTTTTAGCAATTCAAGCATACAGGAAGTCTCTAGTTTGAGTCAGTGCTGCAGTCTCCCACTGTCACTTGCAACAACGTAGGTTTTTTGCAAGGAAGACCTCATGTGAGCAAACTGGAGGAGACTGACCCACATCCCTTGCCTGCGTAGCACAATGTTGACGTAAAATCTGAATAAGAAACTGGCAAAGAAAAACAACAGCAAAGCAGAACTGAAAACGTTTTTTTTTCAAAACTGACTAATCTTTCACCACTTTGGTTAAAATTTCTAAAAAATATATGCACTGTAGTATGTTTATTTGGAGAAGTTTGCGACAAGCAATGTATGAGCTATTGTTTGCATTTTCGCAAATAAGTGACAAATCAAATCTTGGGCTAATTTCCTCCTATACATTCTCTGACCATTGTCTGCAGAGACGTTGAGCACCATCAAATCAGTAATCAAATCAATCAAATCAATACTGTGTACAGTTTAGATATAGGTCCTATAGTTTCTACCTCCATATGGAAAAAATAGCTGACTACTGGAAATGCGTACCTGAAATGATTTAATTCTCTATTAGTATACTTCCCTATATCTCCATAGATCCACATTTCCATAGATCAGATTTACTGTATTAAAAACAAGACAGATCTTTTCCACAACGATTGGGCTCTAATTCATGGTTTAAAACGTAATGACTTCTTTGACAGAGGCTCTGTTCCAGGAGAAGTACACTTTGCAGATGGAACTTGTTCTTTAAATACAGGATAGAATCATGTTAAAATGGTGCTCTTCCCTATGACCTTTATTCTTTCTCAGAAGCTCATATAGAATCCATGTGTATTTAAGGGCAGAGGACGAGGTCATCATGACGTCTGTGTTCAGATTAACTTAATTGCATTTTGTTGTTTCAGTAGTTCGGACAAAACTCTTATTAACATGGAGTAGAGACTTAATTTGAATTAGGTATTTATTGGCATAACTCGCCTGGCTCAGCAAACAGCAAACTCACCATATGGATGAAGATGTTAAAACACCCCCATTCCCCTTTTTTTCGGAGGGATGATCTGGGGAGCTGCTACAAGGGCATAGATGGGATGGAGGGAGGAATGTGAAATGATAAAGAGGTAAGATGGAATAAAGCTATTTTTATGTAAGTAGGTGGCATTAAGCAAAATGTGGATTTGAACTCCTCCTTGTTAAAACCTCCATTTGTTGATAAAATATTACGGTTTATTAATTTAGAATTAGGGTAATTCTGAATGCATGCACAAATTCATGAACTAGTTACTTTTATGTGAAAGATTAAACAATAGTTGTCCAAATTGCAAATCAAAATATTACATTCCAGGGTCAGCTGTGACTTTTTTAAGGTGTTTAGGTTACAGTAATTCTGTGACTGTAATGTATTATAACATTAACGTTTTGGAAAAGTACTCTTCACCAATATTTTATGAAGTTTTATACAAGTTTATTTAAAATTTCCATTAAAACAGCCAGTCTGATGTCTCACACTACACTTGCCTACAGTGCAGTGCAGTGGAAAGACTGTTGCTTGGTTGTACAAAGAGTGTACATTGCCTTTATTCAGAACCAGGTTGGGCTCATAGGCCGTCTGAGTCATGATTCAGTATTCACCCCCATGAGGGGAAAACCACTACAGATAACAGGTGGTCAGCTTCTCATGTCTGTCCAGTCCCTATATACTTCTTCTATTTCTTTGGTAGTTTCCATTATTTACATCAGGGGATGTCCTGGATCCGTCAAAAAATCCTGTTTCAATGGAGAGCTATTTCTGTCTTCCTATTTATTGCTTTCTAAGGAGTTACTACCATCTGCCCTGTCTGTAACCTGTTTATTGTTTGTTCTTCCTTTCTATTTTGGAAGCCATGCTATTTTCCCAGGATAGTAGCAGGAACAAACAATGAGCTTCATTTGTTAGAGGTGGAATGGCAATCTGCAATTGTAAATTCTCAACCCTTTGAGATTCTATTGAAAAACAAATGATAATGAGCAGTGTTCCAAATCTTTTGCATCAATCCTCATTGAAAATATGCAGAAAAATGAGTCGCAGTCCTGTGAAAACTATGTATTTGCAGGAGTGTATATCATTAGTGGCAATGTGAACAGTACAATTTAAACCATTTTGCATGGCATATGGCTACAAGCTAATTGAATACGCCACGTGATAAGTCACACTTTTTCCCAATCTGCAATTTGTTTAGCTAACTAAATGTCATGTTCCTATCGGTTTTAACCTAGTAATCTTGAACAACTTCTGTCCAGGACTCTATCACTTGGTACACGTGTTATTGAGTATTAATAGGTCTAGATTTTTCATATGGTCTAAGCTTTCGATTGTGGAATTTTGTTTTGCTTATGTTCTTGAATTTTACAATAAAAGTGAAAACAACAAAAAAAATCACCACTTCCCGATGAAACAGAAAAAAAGGCAATGAAACAAAAAGTACTTACATATAAACACAACTTGTGACTAAAATTATTTCCTCTATTAAAAGGGCTGTTTTATTTTTTAATGAAATTGGATTTTTAGGCTCAATTTACACTTGTGTTTTGAAAAAAAACTCCATCTGGATCTAAGGTAGCTGCTGTCAAATAATTTAGGAAGAGTCAACACTGCACATCATTTCCTCATCGTTGCTCCCACGCTTGGAAAGTTTTTTTTTCTGACAATAACTGTGCTATAAATGGATTACCATGCCTCAGAGATGCAGAATCCAGAGTCATGTAGCGGTGTTAGAGAACACTACAAAGAGAATGACTTTAGCAACTCTGATCTGCTTTCTTACACTCCAGTTCTTCTACCAGTTATACACATTGGGAACAAACACTGAGATACCTGAAACACAAAACCGCTGTCAAAAGGTAGGACCGTTGCAAAAAGTTGTAATTTTTCCATTATTTTTGTTGATTTTGTTGTTATTATTATGATTGTTACTGTTTCTGTACATACTCATACTTGTTTTTGTCAAGAAGAAAACCCATTTTCAAATTGCATCCTTACAACAAAGAAGGTGATCTCAGTCAGAATTATCAACAAAAAAATATTTTTTCCTATGAATTATGTAACGGGGAATACATTATGTGCCACTTTATTATGCCTTGAAACAAATGTTGAGTATGAACTGTCGTACTGGACATTTTACAGTGTTCTAGGAGACTGAAGGAGATCCTCAGCATGTGAAATTTTTCTTTTCTGTGTGTTTGTAAGGAAAGCAAGCTATCTGAAAAGCAATTACAAATAAAACGGATAAAAATATGTTATTCTATTTTAAGAAGAAACTGAAAATCATACAATTGTTGCTTGTATTTGTACTAGGTGAATTATTAATGCATTATGGACTAGCAGTCCCTCCACTAATCTAGAATCTACAAAACTGTTAACTAAGATTATCCTAATGTTACCTTTTCTTTGCTTTTGTAGAATAGATTGACAGAGGTCTTCTGTTCCTACTCCAGTTTTTCTTCTGTCCCTCTTGACTTGGATCCTACGGTAAAGAAGCTTGATCTGTCATATAATGCTATCACAAACATAAGCTGGGAAGCAACTAACAGTCTAAGGTCACTCCAGGAGCTTGATATAAGTTTTAACCATTTACATTTAATAACAGGGACAGCTTTTGAAAATCTGGCCCAGCTTCGTGTTCTCAGCCTTGCAGGTAATTACCTGAATGATAACGTACAGACTACAGCAAAAGCTTTCCAAGCTCTCAGGACTTTGAAGGTGTTGGACGTTTCATTCAACAGTCTGGATAGTAATACTGTAGGGCTTTACCTGCAGAATCTGTCTTCTTTGGAGCAGCTCTTGCTGGTTGGAAACAGTATGACAAAACTTACACACACTGTGTTCAAAGGAACCCCCCACCTGAAGAACATTAATCTTGAAAATAACAATATTTTGGAAATAGAACAAGGAACCTTTGAGTCTTTGACAAGACTCACAAAGCTGAACATGGCCATGAATAATTTAGCCTGTATCTGTGATTTTGCACTTAAACAACTGAAAGTACTAAATCTAAGCAGAAACTCAATTGAATTCTTTATTACAAACGAGAATGAGGATGTATATCAACTTGAAATTTTGGACCTGAGCTTCAACTCCCTTCTCTATTTTCCTGTTCTTCCCAAACTGAACAGTTTAAAATTCCTGGACTTGCAACACAATAGACTGAGTTTTTTAAAATCAGAAACAGTCTCTAGAGAAGCAAGTAGTTTGTATAAAGAAATTACAAAATCAATTATACCTGAAAATGAACAAGCCTACAGCATATACTTGCAATCTAATCTCTCTCTATTAATTCACTTGGACATGAGCCATAATCAATTCACATCTTTTCCGTTTCACATTTTGAACAATACAGCATCTTTGGAACATTTGAGTTTAAGCAACAACTGCCTTTTCAATTTCACTGTTAACATTCCAAAAGTGTCTGATCAACCGGGACTGGGACAGAAATCAATTCATCAGCATGTGAACTTTCCATCTCTGCACTCACTGGATCTTCAACACAACCAAATTCAGCATCTGCCTGTTGCTTTTTTTGAGGTTCTGCCTCAGCTTGAGCACTTATATCTTGGAAAAAACAACGTGAACCCCTGTGGCATTGAAAACAAATCTGGGAAAAAAGTGCCTAGACATCAAGATCTGACCAATGTTAATAACTGCTCACCTTTTTCCAGCATAAAAACTCTAAAATACCTTGACCTACATGAAAATGACATAAACATGCTCTTCCCCTATGCTTTTCAACACACACCTTTGGTCTCACTTGATCTAAGTGGTAATGAGGACCTGAACATAGCAGAGAAAGCTTTGAGTGGACTGGAGCAAACACTGCAGAGTTTGAATATTAGTGGAAATCACATGGCAACAGCAGCTGTATCCCTACCATGTCTGGGGACATTAAAAAAGCTGGATTTGTCTAATAACCTTTTGGAAGATCTGCCTGAAAATATTGGGTGTGCACCCCTTAAAGAATTAGATTTGAGAAACAACAGCTTGACAACTTTAGATGCATCAGCTGTGACAAACTTGTCTGCAAGTCTTCAGATCATACAGGTCAGTGGAAACGTCTTTAACTGCTGTATTTCTGGTTGGCTCAAGATCCTGACCAAAACGAAAGTTATGATTCCTGATCTTAGAGACTCAGTTTGTTCCTACAAGCTCAATGAGGACTTTTCCATTCCCTTACTGGGTGATCATTCACAAGAATGCCCATATGAAGCTCCTACAGAAACAGGAAAAACAAAACTACTGATTTTAATCTTTTTTGTGATTTTATTTCTGACACTAGCTATATTGGTTATGGCAAAAAGAAACTGCCACAGACTAGGTTCCTCTATAGATATTAAAAGTAATAAAGTGGCGTCTTTTAAATTTACTAAAGACGATCAGTGTCCAGCTAGAGTGGCTAAAATCAATATATTTGAAACTGCACAATAAAAATGTAAATTGTACTGTTTTATGATTTTCCAAATTTCCAATACAGTGGATTTTAACATAATAACTGTGGCTTTTAAATAAGATTATTATTTAATTACTGTGAATGTAACTCTTCCAGGCTACATGCAATTTGATTTTAAGTTAACGATCTGAAAATACTTAGCTGTAAAGGAAATTATTTATTAAATTATTTAATCAAATCAAATAAACTAGAAAATGTTTATTTTTATCATCTAGAAGGATGTGTTCTACATACTGTATGTCCAGGATATACAAAGAAGGTGAATGTAAAATCAAATGTAAACATTTAGGGAACCAAATCATTTTTCAAAAGATTGTATCACAACTGTAATGAAGAAGCTGTCTCTTAAACCACTACCTCCTGCATGCCTGTATTTCCTTCCTTTTAAAAAGAACAAGTGTGAAACATAATGAAACACAGACACCAGCCTTGTTCTGTATGCTATGCTGAAGACGGTTTGTTAAACAAAAAAAAAACTCACTCTACTGGAAAGCGGGAAGATCCATCAGCAAAGAAATTAGTTTGAACTGCAAGTACATTGTTCAAAAGATGTTTTGTTAATCTCCAATTGTACTGTGAATCAAATTACATGCTATAATTAAATCTCTATTTTTGTACTTGGTAAACATTTTCACTTCTGCATTTTGTATTAAAAAATGTGCATATACTGTACCACATATTCCACATACTTGAGGAAAAAAACATCCAGCATTAGTATTCTAGTTGATGTAACAATTAATGTATCACCTTTTGTTAGTAACGACGCATATCAATGGTTTTATTCTAAGATACTTGTTAAAATGTTAACCTGCCACTTCAAACTGACATCTGAGCATATTTTCTTCATGTTCTCCATAAATCACCTGTTTTCAGTAAATATTTCCTTCATGTATCTAGGCTCATAAAAAGTCAGAAATTAAAAATATACAATATATCTTTAAGTAATAAATGTAAAAGATGTGCCTTATCTTTAAATTATCTAAATTAAAATGATGTGAAACCTGTGTTCTTATTTAGGAGACAATAACCTCTACAGTGTAAGAAGCCATCTATTCCATACTTTATGTATTTATTTATATATTTATTTATATAGACAATTTTAGCATGTTATTGTGTTTAAACAACAAACCATTAAACCAATAAAATGTATTTTTGTATAGCTTTGTTTTATTGTTTTTTTTTTTATCTAGGGACTTTCCATACATTTTCGATGTAACAGGAAGAGTATATTTTATGATGTGTTGATAAAAACAATCTTAATTTTTAAAGATAGGAAATTATATTTTTATCATTCTTGACAACTGATTTATAATTAAAGTCGACAGGTGATTTATTGAAAAATTATTTACATGATCTTAAGTGTTTGGATAGATGCCAATAATACTGAGCAGAACAAACGGACGTTATCATATGGAATAGGTTAAATCCTGTAAAAAGATGTTTGTCTTAAGTAATTCCTCACAAAAAAAAGTATTGGTAGTATTGGTAATATCCCCTTCCCAGCTGTGTTCTTTGTGGTATACCCTCCCACTACTCACCAAACCCAACTTGGTTTAGCTTCTGTGAACTTATCAGATCTGACTAGAACACTGATTCTCAGTCCTTGCTGGCCTTGTTTTCATATTTACAAAATCATCAGTATTGAATATTTTATACACCCTCCACCATCTAATTAAGAATTAAGGGAACGACAATTTATTACATTCTCTCGGAAAGTGAGTGGTTGTCCTTCTGCTTAAATTCAATTTCAGCTAACACACCTGAGTGAGGGAAATTTCTAAATTAATTAATTTGTGCTGGGTTGACATCATTTACTAATCTCATTCAAAATTTTAAGACCTAAGAGCAAATTTTTAAATAGGCGTCAAATAGAAAGCTGAATTTGATTAGCCTGTGATTAAAAACTCGACTTGAGCAAAACCTATACAACACACGATTGAGAATCACTAGTGTAGAAGTTGGTATCACTGACACCAGGACATGGGCATGCCTCAGAGAGGAGAACTGAAAACACATAGTGTCTGAAATGAATTTTAACAATCAAATACGAAATTCTGTCCCTCGGAAGTGTCTCATTTCTTGAACCGCATTCTGATAGAAGGTTGTGTCGAAATTAGACACAACAGACGTGATACTGAGGACATGATAAACATGGTATTCAAAATGTGCAAATTTTGTTTCCAGTGTATCATTTCTTGGTTGACAGCCTGTCAGCTGAGTCTTCCAGTCATGTATCCCCATCTGTATCAGCAAAGTGTTTGTGACAGTAAATGTCATATGTTTGATTCTGTAATTCCAAGTAACTGCTGAGGAAAAAAAATCTGTTTTACTTTATAAGGAGAAAGTAGAACTAGTCTACTGAGTCCTGCATTCATGAGATATGTTAACTTCATGGAGCAATTTAAACAGCAGGAAGGAAAGAAACTACCACTTCCAAACCATCACACAGTGCAGTTCCGGTACATTCCGATATAGAATAGTCTAACAAAAACAGAAGGCTAATTTTAACACTGGTGTTAATGGCATATTTGTACAGTACTCAATAAAAAGAACAAGTAAAGGTTTATTCCATGCTCAAAAGAGCAGAAAAGAAACACAACATTTCGTCTGTGAAGCCTTCTTCAGGTCCTAAATAAAAGTTGAATTATGCATTACAATTTGTTGCAACTGTAGCAAAACTAAAACCATGATGCTACTTAAAACTTTTTTCCCATTTACTAAGAAGGTTCAGGACTACTTTATTTTTCTTATGGATATACCCAGTAATGTTCAAAACAGAGCTTTTCATACATAACATTAGTTTCTACTATTGCCACATTTGTCAGGTTTATACAGAATTTAATAGAATTCAGTTATCATGTTCATACGCAAATGTTTTTCTATCATATCTATTAAAATATAACTGCAGAAAGTTCAAGAGGAAATGAATCAAAAACCCAAGATGGAATGACACTCTGTAAACAGTGAGAAGCACCTGGGAGCTTTCAAAAACTTTTAGTTTTATGATTAGCATAAAATTCCATTAAAAACCACCAAGTGATTATTTGGTAGATTTTCTAATATGTAATTTTTTCTTGTTCCAAGTATTAAAAAAACAGTCTTCTTGCAATTTTAATTAAGGAGAAATACTAACTTGTATAATGTAAGTGAAACTTACTATTTCTAACTTGTAATTAACACGTGATCTATAAGTATAATTTCATATTACATTTCATTAATAAATTGAATTGTTTTTGTTTAATGACAGCTACAAATCAAGATTAACCTTAGAAACGTCAGTTTACAGCTTTTCATGTGTGTGAATTCTATTTTGTACTTGAAATACAGACTTCACGATTAAGCATTGATAAATATGAATGATATGCCAAACTGTAAGATGAAAATTATTTATAATAAATAAACCATTCCAGTGTTTTAGTGGCAATTAGTGTAACAGAACATTTTTAATTATAAAATTTTCAAAACAAAAGTACATTTCCAGTACATGAATTACAACAATCAAATAAACAATAAAATGCTTTACTGTGATGCAGGTTTTACTTTTTACAGTGATACCTCAATTTTTTTTTTCAAATTTAGTATTTAAAAATACATTAGAGCCACAACTAACTCCCAGAATTCGTTCTTTTCCTGTTTTGTGGAATATAAACTCCCCCCAAAAAAGTACATATTCCATTTTTTTAAAGTAAAAGTACAACTATTGCTTACTAACAGCTGAGAAAATATTTCGTGGAATTACAGTTATTGTTACGCTAAAAGAAGAGAGAAAACAACATATTCAATCTTATAAATCACTATGTGTTTTGAAATTGCTCAACGAAAAGAGGAAGCTTATTGGAAAGAACACCATCACCATGACAGATGAAACTATAGCAAAAAGACACAAAAAGAAACTGACTTTTTAAGGCTAACATATATTTCAAAATGTGTGTGTGCATTCTGCCGTAGAAAAATATGACAGTTCAACCGTCATTATTTAAGGAATGTACTGCCTTCTATTGGACATAACGTGAACTTCAGTGGAAAGGGACTTAAAATTACTATGTTGATTTCACACATTTAAAATTCAGGGTAATTACCATAAATATTTTGATTAAAAATACTCTTTCACATAGTTCACATTTTACTATTAATATTTTATATTCTACAATTTCTAACATTCCTATGTTCTATTATATTATCAGAAAACACTTTATCCATAGAACGTGAACTGGAGCCTACCTCCAGACCATCTCAGAGCATACACATCCCAAATTGGGCTTAACACATAATCAAAATAGCATATCTTTGAGCGGAATGAGGGAAGCAGATCATTTAATGGAAACTCCCACAAACACAGGCCGAACATGCAAACCCTACACAGAAAGGAGATCATCTGTCTGGAATCTAAGCTAGGCCACAAGCACGCTGTTAACTTTCTGCATTGCAAAACGATCAAAATTAAAAAGGTGAATTACTTCATTTAATGCTGTTTACAGTTCAGAACAAAAAGCCTGTGTATACATTATTCTGTATTACTTTAGTATAAGATGTACTGAAAATGTAGTAAATGAGTAACTACAGCGTCCCCATAATTTTTTAGCCATTGTACGTTACACATTTTCTTTAACTTTGCAGTGGCCATTAATGCACTAAAAAGTGATTTATTATCAGGGCTCAATTTAATGCAATGGTTACATTTTACACAATGAAATGTTTTCCTTCACATATACAGTCACGCTGGTAGAGAAAAAATGTGCTGTTTTTTTAAAACATTGTGTATTTGGGTAGAGGAAATAATGTTGCAAATTTGTCCTTTAAGATTGAAAAACTACTTCTTGCATATGAATAGTGAACTTCCTTAACTATTTAACCACAAAGGACCTTAACAAGATTTTGTGCAGCTGAAGTGAAGAATTTTGAGAGTGAGAAGGCTCAAAGGAATGCTACCTGCATATAATTGTCTGGTTTCATATGTAAATTGTAGCTGACAGGATTCCTCGAAATTGCATACACAATGACTATCACACTATTTGTCTGAATACGAAATCTGTCGAGGTAGAGGTGTGAATCATTGACATTGTGTATTGAAAGTACTGTTGGCATTATTTTTTATCTAGAAACATTTTACAAAAAAGTTCCAGAGATTCTTACTGTGCTGTGTAACCACTAATTCTTAGTTGTTGTGTGAATTTATAATTTATCATATTAATAAATATTGACTGTCTTACTGTTGAAACAGAAGTACATCTCTACTATTATACTAGCACAGTGAATGCATATTCTGTTCAAATTCATGGACATGATTTGTATCCTTTATAATTTCAGAATGGTGATACAACACAACCTATTCTGATTTAAGAAAATCTGAAATTTTCCAGTCTGGAACCTTTAGATATTTAATTTGATTTATAAGAAGTAAGTAACTGAAAGTTTCATTTTTTAGTATTGGAAATTGTTTTACAGGATTGTGTTATATGCCTAAAATACCACTGGGTTGTGCTGTAACATACTACAATCTTGTTTTTGTCCAATGCTAATTTCCTAATTTTGCTTTCATCCCATTACAAAGCAGCATTACCACTGTTATTTACTGTGTGTTCCACTCTACAAAACTTGCAGAGTTGTTGTACAAAACGTGGGTAAATACACTAATAAAACATAATTGGATTAAAATGTTTTGCAAGCATTTTAAAATGCTTTAAATGTAAAAAATAATGTATAAATTTCAAAGATTTAACTAGACGTAAAGATCGAAATGCCTTTTTTGCAGTTCAAGTAGTGTTTCCTGTGCTTGTTGATTTTTGTCTTTGACTTGACTTTATATTGTTTGTGGATATTCTGTCAAGATTTACTAGTTTTCTTTGAGACATTTCTCTATCACCAACGTGCAAGATAGGTTGGTAACAGAACCAAGAAAACCCAGAATAAACAAGGTGAAAATAAACTCCGTAGAACTGAAACCTCAGTCTACAGATGTCAGAATCCACATGCCATAGTTATGTTTTCTGTACCCCTTTGTGCTTTTGTCTAAAAGTTATTAGCATTAAAAAGCCTGGCTCTTGGAAGTAAGGAGACAGTTAGTGTGACATGGTGGATACAGACTTGCACTCCTGAATGCGGCTTTTAAAGAAACATTTTCTC